TGTCTTGATATCCTTTAAACTGATGTCATTAGGAACCTGGGAGTCCCCAAAATATTTAGGGAGACATCTGCTCGTTGAAGGTGTTTAGTTATTCCGGATACTCTGGATGACAAGTATACCTGCCTACTTTGTATTATCTCATGTCCTGGATGGGAGTTGTGTTAATGACTACATTGACCCAAGTGATTACCTAAAGTGAAAATGTTAAAACATTTAATGTATTTGATGTACATCTGACTTCTTTCAGGTTGGCTTGTCCATATTTTAAAAATAAGAATATTTAGTCTGCATAATGTGATTACTGATTAAATTACTTTTATTGCTTATAGAATACGTTTTTTCTTTGCAGTGAGAGTTCTCACATTCAAGATATTCAAAATTAATCATTAGTTTCTTAAATCATATAATAAAAAGGTCAACTGTAGTCATGTCACGCTGTACATGTGTAGGGTTCACAGCTACAAAGCTGACTTATGAGATAGTGAATCTTTGTAGAGATAAGGCAATATAAAACGAAAGAAAGAACTTGCTGAATTTTTCTTATATTTGGATCAAATGTAAAAAGCAGATCTGACCTTTGTACGGCTCATTAATAGTAAGTACAGAAGTGAATATGCAGTAAAGAACTGTATTTTTTAATTTGCTTGTATTTTACTTTGGGGCACGCTCTCGAATGTTTTGGTTCGTTGGAATATTGAATCAGATTAAGAATAATATTGTTAAAAAGAAAAAAAATGACCGTGATAAATGGATGCTTCAAATAATGGTGTACCACACTCGAAATCTAATAAATAAAAAAAGACAAGTGGAGGACAAATTATGAAAGTACATTTTTCTTCTAGTAAATCTATGATCCAGAATTTAATTTACAAAATTCAAGATTATCTAACAAATCAAAGTAACACCGATAATTTAAATTTTATCAAATGTAATTTCATCAGCACTTAATTTATTAATTATTTTGGTTTTATAGTTTATGTAAGAGCCATGAACATAAAAGTCATGCCATGTTTTATGTCTGAAAATAGTTGAAGTAATATTTTAAAATAAATATGTTTCTGGAAAGACTTGTTTTTCAAAGGTATTTGAACTTAATTCATTGTTGGGAAGCACTGTGCTAATGCCCCAGTTGAGGTGTTTTCAATTATAATTGATAAATATCCTGCCCTTCCCTGCTTTTTAAAAATAACCTTGTGTAATTGCAGATAGATAAGAACAATGAATTCATCATTTTTATTTCAAAGCTTTTCACCACTTACTTACATAAGACTGAATTTAACCATCAATGTGAAATATTTACACTCTAGGTTCTTGTCAAGGGGTTTAACATCAAAGTTACTCTTAAGTCTCAAAAACTCTACTAGGAGAAATAATATTAATATAAAACTGCCTTGAGGATATACAATCCATCCATTCACTGTAGGTCAGTGGCTCTGAGCCCCAGCTGCACACTAGAATCACTTAAGACGCTTAAAAAATACTGATGCCTTTTCCCATCTTAAGCCATTTTGATTTAATTAGTTTGATGTGGAACTTGATATGGTAATAAGTCCCCCTATATAATTCTAATTAAAAACCCAAACTGAGATCC